CTCACTCCCGGTCAATTTAGCAACGCTTAGCAACAACAAAATGACACGTCCACTAAAGTTAGCAACAATAAAATAAAAAAGCGATCGCTATTTGAAACTGATTATTGAAGTTGTGATACTTTGCAATTTGGTTAGGTTTAGGCAACAAAACTACTTGGTTAAGGTTAGGAAAAGATCATGGTTTGGGTTAAAATAACTATGTACACTTGCCTGACTTAAATAAAAATATTTAATGTTGACTTTTTGTTACACGTTGGACATGAACCACCGCTCTCCTGGTTCAAAGTCAGGGTTCTGGCCCGCCATCCACCCCAACCACCCTCCTTAATCAGTCTTTTCTGTTAAATATATACCTATCTTTACCATCAAAAACTGATACTACAGGACTTCCCCCTCTGCGTTGAACTATGACGCTGTACTGATACCCAGTCCGTTACAAACCGACGCAGATGGGTATTGACCATGCGTCCATATGTGACGAGTCAGGAAGTGAGAACGGTTGTTTAAAAGACGTTTTGTTAGTGACAAATGTGATAGAAAAAAAACTTTGAAACGTCTTACTTTTCTGTCAGCAGCGAGTGGTCCACCCATACCATTCCCATCTTGTTGGCTTATTTTCCTGTATGACCCTAGACCAATCCGGAGTCTCCACAGTTCATACTCTTCACCAGCTCTACAACAAATTCCTAGTAGTTGACAAGAGACATAAAATCTTCATTATTGTATTATAATTAATAATCATTTGTGATGTCTGAAGTCTGAATGCAACTTTTCAGTTCATCCGTGGTGCATATATCAGTTTTCTTCTTAATCTCATTGAGCATGAGCCTCATCTTGCCAGACAGCCACTCTAGGAGAGAGCAAAAGTGCTGACTTTCTCCATTTATTGACAATTTGTCTTCCGTGGACTGATGAACATCAAGGCTTTTAGAGACCCTTTGGTAAACCTTTGCAGCTTCATCCAAGTCGCAATTCTTAATCTTGGGTTTTCTGAGAGCTCTTTTGTTTGAGACATGGTTTATCAGGCAATGCTTCATGACAATGGCAAATAAAAAGTTGTTGTGTGTTTTATAGGCATGGCAGCTCTAACCAACGCTTCTATGTTGCCTCATTGATTGGACTCCAGGTTGGCTGACTCCTGACTCCAATTAGCTTTTGAGAAGTCATAGCCTAGGGGTTCACGTACTTTTTATCCCTGCACTGAATGTTACATGGTATGTTCAGTAAAAACAAAAACATATAATTGTTTGTTCAGTTTAGTTTAAGCAGCTATTTTTTTATATGTTGTGACCTGATGAAGATCAAATCACATTTCATGAACAATTCTGCAGAAATCCAGGAAAATTCCAGTGTTCATACGTTTTCTTGCGACTTTATTAAGGATTACAACAATGCCACTTAAAAGCATGT